AACTGTCGACTCTTCCCTCCCCCCATAGTTGACAGTCATTACGTTCCTTGGATCAAGCTTGCTTCCCACCTATCTCTCTACTAGCCGATCTCGCAGCCTATTTTTGCCTTTGACTTGAACGCCTCTGGCTCTTTCATGAATACCCAGCAGCTTTGGTGTTCCTAACTTTTTGCGTACCTTGGAGCTTTCCTTATCAAACAACCATTGTCCTTTTGCCGCCTACCCTGCAGCTCCTCTTGCGCCCTCACCGCTTTGTTACCTCTGCATCTTTGGTTTCAACTGTCTCGATCCAGAACGCTGCCATAACTTGATTATTATAAAGACTTTTGGTTTTGCACAGCCCAGGTCTCTGATCTCAAACGGCCGGCTCAGTCTTTTCCGCCACAGTTCCACGGCTCCTAGCTCACCCTCCTGTTTCTTCCTTCCATACTTGTCCCCCGACGGTTCCATCTTTACCTATTCTCTCCAGCCTTCCCGGTTCACTGGCACATTTGAGCTCATCTATTACTCCCCTGATGGGCCTCCATCATCCTTCGTCGACGTTACTGCTGCTGCTGAGGTAGTCGTGTAGTTGACGGGACGTGTTTGGTTGCTGCAGACTATGACATCTACTCACCACTCGAGGAGGTCGAGGGAGACCCCTCAACCCGAGATGTCTATCGGTCGCTACACAAGGCTGGATGAGATCGGCCGAGGGAGCTTTGCTACGGTTTACCAGGGTGTTCATACTGTGAGTTTTGCTGGATTCAGCCTTATCACCACCTTCGCCTTCCTCTTGGTGATGATAATGTCTTCTTGATTCGTAGGCATCTCTTGCTAACCTGTTTGTAAAATCTACCAGAAAACACGCACGTATGTCGCCATAAAGTCGGTCAACCTCTCGAAGTTGAATAAGAAGTTGAAGGACAACTTGTCTTCTGAAATTCATATCCTCAAAGGCCTCTACCATCCACACATCGTTGCGCTAATCGATTGCCATGAAACCACCTCCCACATTCATCTAGTGATGGAATACTGCGCCCTGGGCGACCTGTCCCTATTCATCAAGCGTCGAGATACTCTTGGAGATCATAGGTACACAAGGGATATGATCGCCAAGTATCCGAATCCTCCTGGTGGCGCCCTCAACGAAGTTGTTGTCCGGCATTTCCTGAAGCAACTGGCGAGTGCCCTGAAGTTTCTTCGCGACCGGAACCTCATTCATCGCGATATCAAGCCACAGAACCTTCTGCTTTGTCCTTCGCCCTCGTCCTATCGCAGTGGCGTCACTCAAGTAGTTCCTTTCAAAGGCAGCGAAGATTCCTTCAACCCTGCAACCGGGCTCGAGTCACTACCTCTTCTCAAGATTGCGGACTTTGGATTCGCCCGATCACTTCCTGCCACATCACTGGCGGAAACGTTATGCGGCTCGCCCTTATACATGGCTCCCGAGATTCTCCGGTACGAAAAGTACGATGCCAAAGCTGACCTCTGGTCTGTGGGCACGGTGCTGTACGAGATGGTCGTAGGCAAGCCTCCTTTCAGAGCGACAAATCATGTGGAACTGCTTCGCAAGATCGAGAAAGGAGAGGATAGGATCAAATTTCCCGAGGAGAACCCGGCATCTGATGAAATCAAGGCGCTCATTCGGGCTCTTTTGAAGAGGAACCCCGTTGAGAGATTAAACTTTTCCGACTTCTTTGAAAATGGCGTTATCACAAGTCCTATTCCTGGCTTAGTGGCCGACGATCAGCCATCGATACCCCGTGGCCTCCCTGCTGATCCTGACACAGCGGAATCAACGCCGAGACCTGATTCTCGATCTGGAGCCATTGTGCCAGGCGGTACGGAGCGCGAAAGAGAGGTTTCGTATTTGTTGAAGGGGGATGATGGCGTTACGCAGCGGCCCCGTTCTCAAAACCAGAAATTGGGCACTCCCCCAACTTCAACACCTATGCGCCGAATAGGAAGCGGGGACAGGCCTCCATCTACTCCCAAAGAGTCAGCGCCACCGATGACTTACCCTCAAAGACCTAGTGCTGTCAGTCATGCAACTGCCCCGGGACGACAAGAACTTGTTGATCGCAATGCTACAATTACAGCCATGGAACGACAGAGGGGTCGGAATACATTTTCTGAAGGTTCTCCGCAGATGGACAGACAGGCAGACAAATTGAGAGAAGAAAGAGAACGCGCGGCACAAGATGTTGCTTTCGAGAGGGACTATGTCGTTGTGGAAAAGCGTGCGGTGGAAGTGAACGCTTTTGCAGACGAGTTGGCGCATAGCCCCCGCATTCAGGGTGGCATTTCAAGAGGTGCACAGACGGGTGCCTTATCCCGTCGATCAACAGTGCACGGTCCAACGCCGTTGAACCCATCACCACCTCAAGCCGCTGTCGGCAAGGCCATGCAGGTCCTTTCAGGACGTTCCCGTGCTGATTCAATGCACAACCGTCAGAGCTCATATGAGCGTCGATACGGACAGAGTCCCACCTCTGCAACGTCTGCCATTTCGAAGGCGCTCAATATGGCTAGTGGACGCTTGTTTGGTATGGGATTTTCTCCGCCGCTGGCCATTACCAAGGGGGGACAGTCGCCTCCTCTCGCTTACAATCCATTTCCCGCATATCCCGCGCATGGCAACTTGATGATTGGAGACGGGACGAAGAATAATGTGGCTCTGGATGAGGATACAAAGACTGTCCAAATTCTGGAAGAATGTGCTACTCGCAGTGACGTCGTTTACGGATTTGCTGAAGTCAAATATAAGCAGCTCGTTCCCCTTGCCCCCTCGGTCCAGACCGACCCATCATCCAAAGGCAATCTGGCCGGGGAGAGGGAGAATCCTGACTCGGCTGATGGAGGTCTCACGGTAGATGCTATTGTGACGTTGTCAGAGGAAGCCTTGGTTCTTTATGTCAAAGCGCTCTCTTTACTGGCGAAATCGATGGACATAGCAGGAGCCTGGTGGGCGCGGAAGAATCGCGGAGATGGTTTTGGGGATTCAGCCATGAGCAGAGCCGATGGGGCGAGTACACTTGCTGGAACCCGCATCAACAATGTCGTTCAGTGGGTGCGAAACCGATTCAACGAAGTGTTAGAGAAGGGAGAATTCGTCCGTCTCAAGCTAATCGAGGCACAAAAGCGGTTGCCACCCGACCATCCTAGCCATCCCGACAACCACTCGGTTGGCTCTTCGCTGGGCTCAGGGGCATCTGTGGACGTTGTTGTGAGCCCCGGCGTCTCCGCAGAGAAGCTTATGTATGACCGTGCGCTGGAAATGAGTCGCACGGCGGCCATTAACGAGCTCACTGGCGAGGATCTGTCTGGGTGCGAAATAGCGTACGTGACGGCCATTCGAATGCTTGAAGCTGTACTGGAGAACGGCGAAGTACCGCGATTTGGGCAAGGCAAAGACGACACGTCGAAGGATAGTGACAGAATCGTGCTTGATGCGGTACAGGCTGAAGAACGGCAAGTTGTGATAAAGCGTGAGTCACTCCCCGCCGAACAGGAAACCAACTAGTGCTGACGATCCATGCAGTTGTCTCCAGCATCCGGAGTCGGCTGGCAGCTCTTCGCAAGAAGCTGGCGATTCTTGCGAAACGAGCACCGACACCCTCTGCTAATGTTTTCGGCAAGATGGCCCCATCAAATCCTGTCTCTGTGGGTGCAACACCGCCGAAGTAAGCATGGGGCCTCCATTGAGTATCTCGGTCCACTCCGACGTATTCCCTGTGCTCGGAATGCTCTACATGAAGGCATTCTGACTCTTCAGCTGCATTATGTCTTTGATGCGACATGTGTTCGATGACCATTCTACCTATTACCTATCGGCTTGCCGCGGGCTTTTCTTCTTCTTCCTTTTCTTTGGCCGTCTTTTCTTATTCATTTCCACTGGGACCCTAGTTTCCAAGCGCATTTGATTATCGATCGATCGAGGCTCATTTTTACTTCCTCGGATCGAATCTTTCTTGACTAGTCTATATCCATCTCGCTTTTTTCATTTACAGGCTGAGCCTTCCGGCGTTGAAGGTTTTGACGGATATACACAAGATTGTCAGACCACTTGGGACGATTCATGGCTGCGAGTAATCGATTTGGGAGTCCAGGGTGCATGATCATGGTATTGATTCGGGGCGTACTATTTATCTATTACCAGTCCGATGAACTTTGCATTTTCTCTGTACATAAAGAATCAGACGAAAATTACCTATCTTCTTTCTACATTGATTTTGGTGCTCTTTGTCCTGGCGGCTTAGTTGCGCTTATTCTAATGCTACCTACTGACAGTCTAGACAGGACTGGCGTCAAAAAGGCTCACAGCACTAGGTGATCAACCCGAGCTGGCGAGCTTCGAGAAGTGACGAAAATTGCGTGATCGATTTCTATGTGTCATGGCCACTGCCTTCGACGATTCAACAGCTGCTGAGCCTGCTGTTGGTGGAGACTCCCAAGCCTTCTGGTTCCGCTGCGCCCAGGAAATTTTTTTACTTTCCGACTCCATTATTGGCAGTTTGGCACCATCCGCCGACCACATGGTGAATGTCTCGGTCATTGCAACATGCATTTTCATTGATATCATTTTGTACCCTTTTTTCTTTTCTTTTTTCTATTTTTCTTTGAGTTGACTCTATTCCTCTCTTCTCTTCTGTAGTTCATTTGTTCATTCTTGTTGCATATTCTTTTTTCCTTTTCGCGGCTTCGTTGGACTGAAAAATGAAGTATTGACGGCGACTCGGCATCCCGAACTATACCTCCGATTAATGCCAGCGAGCATTTTCACTCTTTATTTTTTGAGCTCTCTTTTCTGACAAGGTATCTGCTCCGCTGATAGGCATTGGCAATTGCATCATATTTAGACCCAGCACATCATCATCTGTGATCCATATCTTACCACCGCTAACCGCCCAGGATTCCATAGTGCCTACTTGTTCCTACATTGAAATTGAGCTGCTCTCGTGCTCAAGGAGCCAGAAAAACAGAACCTTCGAAGTAGGCATTATTACACGAGCTACATCATGAGCGACCCGGTAACGGAATCGGTTTATCAGAAAGGCGCCATGCCTGAGAGCAAGCCGTTCAACGAAACCCCACGGAGGGCGGACGGAGTCTCCCAGCTGTGTATGTCCTGCTCTATGTTCGCTGCTTAACGAAGATATCAGGGCTGATTTTCTATCCAGACGAGGGCAATGTTTTTGATGCGACACCGGACGACCGTCGCCAGATCGGCGTCGTCAGTGCGTCTTTCCTGATCTTCAATCGTGTCATCGGTACGGGTATCTTTGCCACTCCGGCAACAATCTTGGGATTGTGTGGTAGTGTTGGTCTGTCGCTCTTCATGTGGGTCGCGGGAACTGCCATCGCCATGGCAGGTACTGCGGTGTATTTGGAATGGGGTACTGCTATTCCCAAGTATGTCCCCCTGCACGTATAGGGATTTCACCATACTGATGATGCCTACTAGGAACGGTGGCGAGAAGAATTACCTCGAATACGTCTACAGAAAACCCAAGTTCCTGGCTACGGCCATGTTCGCTGCGTACGCCGTCTTGCTGGGGTGGGCCGCCAGCAACAGTGTCGTGTTTGGCGAGTATATCCTCAATGGTGCCGATGTGGAGGTCGGTCGGTGGAATCAGCGCGGTATCGGTTTGGCTTGTGTCACTGCTGCCTTCCTCATCCACGCTCTTGCTGTGAAATGGGGTCTCCGTCTTCAGAACTTGCTTGGTGTGATCAAGCTGGTCATTATCGTGTTTGTCATTGTCGCTGGCTGGGTAGCCCTAGCCGGTCATACCAAGGTTGAGACGCCTCATAACTTTAAGAATGCTTTTGAGGGCACAACTGGCAGCGGTTATGGTATTGTCATGGCTCTTTACAACGTCATCTGGTCGTTTATCGGATACTCCAACGCCAACTATGTAAGTCATTCGCAGTCGTGACTTATCTCCTCAACCGGTATTCTGACTGCGGACCAGGCTCTGAGCGAGACGAAGAACCCCGTGCGCACGCTGAAGCTTGCGGCGCCGATCGCTATTGGATCCGTGGGTATCCTCTACATGCTGTGCAACATCGCCTACTTTGCTGCCGTGTCCAAGGAAGATATGCTCTCATCGGGCCAAACTGTGGCAGCTAAATTCTTCGGGAACATGTTCGGTGCTCGTGCGGAGAAGGTGATGTCGGTCTTTGTGGCCTTGTCGGCTTTTGGAAATGTGTTGTCCGTTATCTTCTCTCAGGGACGAAGTATGTTCAAGCTCGTTGCCAATGGTGTCGTCTTAAGAACTAACAAGGTTGGCAGTTGTCCAAGAACTTGGTCGTGAGGGCGTTTTGCCCTTCTCGAAGCTTTGGGCGAGTAACAAGCCGTTCCATTCGCCAGCTGCCGGTCTGTTTGAGCACTGGGTCGTCTCAGTCATCATTATGCTGGCTCCCCCGCCGGGTGATGCGTACAATTTCCTGCTCAAGTGAGTCCGTCCTTTGCATCACTTCAGCTGAGGTTCTGCTAATCCATCAAAAAGCCTGATCTCCTATCCTCTATCCATCGTGAACGTCTTCGTGTCCGGCGGTCTTATCTATATTTACCTCACACGTTCAACACGCTTTCCTGACTGGGCTCCAGGGATCCGCGCGACCCTCCCAGTCACCATCTTTTTCTTCCTGTCAAACGTATACCTGGTCATTGCACCATACATTCCACCCTCTGAGGGACAGAGTGTTTACAAATCACTTCCCTACTACCTTCACTGTGTCGTGGCGCTCGGCATCTTTGCCTTTGGCGCGATATACTATGTGGTGTGGACGATTCTGATGCCACGCTTTGGTCGCTACATGCTGGTCAAAGAAACCGTGGTCGACGCTGATGGCTGGTCCAGAAGCGTTTTCACTCGGCTGCCGCTCGCGGAAGCTGAGCGAGTTTGATCTCGCTCTTGAGTTTCTCTTTCTTGTCAGCCAAGTGGCGTCAGATGGGATTCCCCTGTTACGACGACATGATTCAACATCTGCCTTCATGGCATAATTTTAATGTGTATAAAGGGACGAACTGGATACCCTGGCATATTTTCGGAGTTTGGAGGTATTTATAGACAGCATTCAACAAGCATCTTGATTTTTGTTGCATAAAACACATTTACATATTTCACATGTACCCAATAGAGAGTAACCAAAAGATTTTTCTGTTTATTCGAGATAGAACTCAGAAATTTCATCTTAAGGATGTCTCTTGTCCCAGTCCTCTATGGAAGCCCATCCACGAGATTTGCATAAGTTGCTGTCATGAACCCCTCAAACTGACTGGAGAACCGTCTTGCAAGTATTGCCGCAGGGGCATAGGAAAAGGCATCTGCCACAATGTGCTCCTCAGAAGGAAACGTGGCATATGCTGTTTTGACTTGCGTGAAGAATGATGAGGAGAAGAGAATTAGGCTTTAAGGATTCAACAGGAAAAATAAATATGTCACGTGATCAGCTGTGTCTCATATAGGCTTAGTTTACCTGCGAGCGCTGTAATTCTAAGGCGGTGAGGGTATCTGCTTGTAATGTACTGTATAGTGTAAGTTACAAACCCATCATGAGTGTTCTATTGTCACCGCCTTCCATGTCGGGCCAGCCTTCGTCGTTTTCTTCTGGGGATGATGCCGATTGTAGCCTGTTCTACAGATCGGTCTCTACCATTGTCCACCATCCGCGGTTCTTCGATTTCATTGTGCTTGTTGTCATTCTGATCAATTGAGTCTCCTCCTCCCTCTTCCTCCGTCTTCCCCCGTTTCTCCCTCTTTCCTCTCTGTTCTTCGTCCGGCGGGGTTCATGCGTCGATTCTCCTCCGCGCGGTTACCGCTGGTTCTGAACTCAGCAAGGCCACCGCTTTCCTCCCCCTCTACAAAGCCCCTCCTTCTCCTCTCTAGATCGTCCTCCCTCGTCTCCTCCCCATCAACTTCCGTCAATCGAATCGCTCCCCGTCGCTTTCCCCTTTCCCAAGTTGCCAAACGCTACTGCTCCTACCGAAGGATGTGCATGTCCCGTCGCGCTGACGTGCCTTCGGGCTCGACCAACGTCACCCATGGTCGTGAGGTCTTGCCTACCAACGTCAAGCCGGTGCACTATGACCTTACTCTTGAACCCAATTTTGAGAAGTTCACATATGACGGAACCGTGATTATTGAGTAGGTTTTCTGTTCAAGTTGTTTGCCTGCTACGGAGGTTCGGGACACTGATGCTTCGTATAGTCTCGATGTTGCCGAAGATACGACCTCCATATCCCTCAACACCAATGAGATTGATATTCAGAACGCCGTCATCTCGTCTCAGGGCTCCGTTGTCACATCAAGCCCCGATGTCTCAATCAACAAGGACAACCAGATGGCTACCATCAAGTTCGCCGAAACCATCCCGGCCGGATCCTCAGCTCAGTTGAAGCTCACCTTCACTGGCATCCTCAACGACAATATGGCTGGCTTCTACCGTTCGTCGTATAAGCTGGCCAATGGGGAGACCAAGTACATCGCCTCAACCCAGATGGAACCTACCGATGCGCGCAGGGCTTTCCCTTGTTTCGACGAGCCCGCACTCAAGGCCAAGTTCACGATCACCTTGATCGTTGATAAGAGCATGACTTGCCTAAGCAACATGGACGTCGCTTCCGAAACCGAAGTTCAGGGAGGTGCCAAGAAGGCCGTCAAGTTCAACACCACTCCCCTGATGTCCACATACCTCGTTGCTTTCATCGTCGGCCATCTGAAGTATATCGAGACCAAGGATTTCCGTGTCCCTGTCCGTGTCTATGCAACTCCAGATCAGGACATCGAGCATGGCCGCTTCTCACTGGATCTTGCTGCCAGAACTTTGGCATTCTACGAAAAGGCTTTTGATAGCGAGTTCCCGCTGCCCAAAATGGACATGGTAGCTGTGCCCGATTTCAGTGCTGGAGCTATGGAAAATTGGGGTCTGGTCACCTACCGTATTGTTGATCTCTTGTTGGACGAGAAGGCTAGCGGTGCCTCTCGGAAGGAGCGCATTGCTGAGACCGTTCAGCATGAGCTGGCACACCAATGGTTCGGAAACCTGGTTACCATGGATTTCTGGGACGGCTTGTGGCTCAATGAGGGATTTGCTACATGGATGTCGTGGTACTCTTGCAACGCGTTCTACCCTGAGTGGAAGGTCTGGCAGACTTATGTCATCGACAGTTTGCAGAGCGCGCTTTCTCTGGACTCTCTGCGCAGCAGTCACCCCATTGAGGTGCCTGTAAAACGGGCAGATGAGATTAATCAGATTTTCGACGCCATCTCCTACTCGAAGGGCTCTTCCGTCCTCCGCATGATTTCCAAATACCTTGGAGAAGATGTGTTCCTCCAGGGTGTACGTAACTACATTAAGAAGCACGCATATGGCAACACACAGACTGGTGACTTGTGGTCGGCCCTTGCCGACGCCAGTGGAAAGCCGGTGGAGAACGTGATGGACATCTGGACCAAGAATGTTGGATTCCCCGTCGTCTCTGTGACGGAAAACCCTAGCGCTTCCTCCATCAAGCTGAAGCAAAATCGTTTCCTGCGTACGGGCGATGTGCGTCCCGAAGAAGACACAACACTGTACCCTGTCATGTTGGCATTGCGTACCAAGCAGGGCGTCGATGAGGACACGATGCTCACTGAACGTGAGGGTGAATTCAAGGTTCCCGACCTTGACTTTTACAAGCTGAACGCTGATCATTCCGCCATTTATCGCACTTCTTACACACCCGAGCGGCTCAGCAAGCTGGGAGAAGCAGCCAAGAAGGGACTTTTGACCGTTGAGGATCGTGCAGGTATGATTGCAGATGCCGGTGCTCTGGCTTCGTCTGGTTATCAGAGCACTTCTGGTCTGCTGTCCCTCCTGAAGGGCTTCGATAGTGAAGCTGAGTTCGTCGTCTGGAACGAGATCCTGACCCGTGTCGGTACCCTGAGAGCCGCCTGGATATTTGAGGACAGCCAGACAAAGGATGCTCTCAAGGCCTTCCAGCGCTCTATTGTCAGCAGCAAGGCACGCGAGCTTGGCTGGGAGTTCTCTGACAAGGACGGCCATATCCTGCAACAGTTCAAGGCTCTCATGTTCGGTAGCGCAGGAATGGCCGAAGATCCTGTTGTCGTCAAGGCCGCCCAGGACATGTTCCAGCGATTTGCTGCTGGTGACCTGAGTGCTATCCACCCTAACATCCGTGGTAGCGTCTTCTCCATCGTCCTCAAACACGGCGGAGAGAAGGAATACAATATCGTACTGGACCGTTTCCGCAACGCTCCCACCTCGGACGAGAAGACAACCGCGCTGCGCTGCCTTGGTTCCACCGAAGATCCCGCTTTGATTCAGCGTACTCTGGACCTGGCCAGCAGTGACGAGGTCAAGAACCAGGATATCTACATGCCTCTCGGAGGACTCCGTGGCTCGACTGCGGCCATTGAAGCCCGTTGGAACTGGATGAAGAAGGACTGGGATGCTCTTTACAAGCGTCTGCCCCCTGGACTTGGTATGCTGGGCACAGTTGTCCAGCTCTGCACTGCCAGCTTCTGCACCGAGGAGCAGTTGAAGGATGTGCAGGCATTCTTTGAGCACAAGGATACCAAGGTGAGTTACGGCGCCTCTCAATTTCAGTGAATACATGACTAATTAAATATATAGGGCTATGATCGTGCTGTTGAGCAGAGTCTGGATGCTATCCGGGCCAAGGTCCAATGGCTGAAGCGTGACCGCGCTGACGTTGAGTCTTGGCTGAAGTCGAACGGCTACCTCCGGGATGGGAAGTTGTAAGATAACAGAGATATACCAAAGATCTAGAGTTGTTACAAAGCAGACTAAGCCTTGTAAGATATCTTCGACCCTAAAGGGCCAATGCATCTTTGAGTACCATAAAAATGTCTCTTCACTGAGCATATAGGTACATTTGTCATAAGGTACAGCATGATGGGTCTACGCTATTCTACTGCCACCCACTTTTATTCCCAAATCCCGAACTGTCGTCGCTCTTTTTCGCAAATCCCCGGTTAGGCTTCGATTGGGCGGCTTCGTGCTTGCGCAGTTCTTCGGGGACGCGGGAAATGGGCGACTTCATGAGCATCTGCTTAAGATCGTACCTGTAGAAGTAGAAAAGTAGAAATGTCAGTATACCATATCTTCTGAATGATTCTTAGAAGGGAAAAAAGGGGAGTTGACATACATGACGTCTGCATCCTCGTTGCCGAGGAAAGTAATGGCCACACCGCTCTTACCGGCACGACCGGTACGACCGATACGGTGCGTGTAGCTCTCGATGGAGTTGGCCATGTTGAAGTTGACGACGAGACTGACGTCCGGGACATCGATACCACGACCGGCGAGATCGGTGGCGACAAGGACGTCTGTCGAGCCGTTGCGCACGGAGGCAAGGGCGGCTTCACGCTGTTCCTGGGTCTTGCTTCCGTGCAGGGTGACGGAGGAGAAGCCCATATGTTTGATTTCGCGGGCGATGGCGTCGCAGTTGCGCTTGATGTTGACGAAGACGATGATCGGGGGCCGGAACTCGCCTGAGGAAAGGATTTCGGCGAGCCGCTTCTTGCGCTTGTCTTCGCCGGCGATCAGCTCGACGCGCTGCTCGATGGTGTCGACGGCTTCGCCGGCGCTGCCGATCGTCACGATGGCGGGTCGGCGGAGGTATTTGCGGGCGATCCGCTCGACGGCGGAGGGCATGGTGGCTGTGTACATCATTGTCTGGCGGTAGCGGTGGCTTCGCATGGCGGCGGAGTTCTCGGCCTCTTCCGTGTCGGGCTTCTCGTTGGTGACGGGGAGAGCATCGAGGATTTTGTTGACGGGCTCTTCGAAGCCGAGATCGATCATTCGATCGGCTTCGTCCATGATGACGTAGCAGCACTGGCTGAGCACGAGGAGACGGCGCTCGATACAATCGACTAGACGGCCGGGGGTGGCGATGATGATCTCCGCGCCGTTTCGGAGACTGTACGCTTGTTCTTCCAAGGAGTGACCGCCGACGATACTGACGACGTTGAACCCAAGCGGTTGCGTGAACTTCCTGGCTTCGATCTCGATCTGCTGTGCCAGTTCTCGAGTAGGGGCTAGGACGATGGAGTATGGACCGTCGTTCTTCCTCCATTCGAATTCGTCAATCCGGGGCAGCTCCGATATGTATACCAGCAGCGGGAGCAAGAATGACGCTGTTTTACCCGAACCTGTTACGGCAACACCAATGAGATCTCGTGATTGCAGAGCAATGGGGATCGCAGCTCTCTGAATCGGTGTGGGCTCCTTGTATCCAACCTGGTCCACAAGCTCCAAGAGCCGCTTGGGAAGGCCAGATTCCTCCCATGACCGCATGGGATTCGGCACAGTGCCGCCCTTGGTACTGATGTTGAAATCTTCTTTGAAGATACGCCAGTCCCTCTCGCGCATGTGCTCCAACTTCTTCTCACTCCAGTGCTTGTCGAGCTGGTTCCGGGTACTCTCCTCCCTTCGTCTCCGCTCCATCTCCAATATCTCTCGGGCTCTGATGCTTCCAGCTTCCCGATCGCGATCTTCCAGAGCGCTGGCATACTTCTGCGCTAATGTATCGGCCACATCGTCTCCGAAACCAGCCAACCGGCCACGCCCGTAGAAGTTGGCTTCGTGCCGGTGCTGATACAACGGGTTATAATCGCCGCTTGTATCCTCCTCCGCATTCCACTCGAAATTGAACTTCCGATCCGTCGTCCTCTTGCGCTTCTTCTTCGCTGAGAAATTCGACGTCTTCTCCGTTCCCATGTATCGATGCTTGATCAAGGCAGCTTGGGCCGACGCCTCGTCCTCCTCCGCCTGGCGCTTGCTGTCTCCTTTCCCATCCGTTAGACTGAACGACATAGGTTTCGGCGGAGGCGGCGGCGACATATCGTAGTGCTTGTTGCGCATCGCGGCGGGGCCAGTCGGGACTTCTGAATTGCGCATAGCTCGGGGACCGGTGGGTATCGACCTTTCATCGCCATTGGGAGTCTCGGAGTAAACAGACGGTGATTGCGTCCCGCTTCGATCTGTACCGTTGGTGGATGGTTCTGATTTCAATCGTCGCTCGGCTTCCACCTCCTTGGCGCGCTTCTCTAGAGCAAGCCGCTCGCGCTCAGCTTTGGACAGGAATTTGGGCTGCGCATTAGGTCAGAGTATCAGCTATTGTGTTCAGTGCGTAGTCGGCGTGTTCGGAGGAAAGCCTACCTTGGCCGCTGCCGCATCTGCCTCCCTCTTCTTCCGCACAAGTTCCTCGACACTCAACGGCGTCGTTGCTGAGCGTTTCGCACCCCACCCTACCTTCTTCTTCTTCTCTGGCGGCGGAGCTGGGGGAGCATCTTCCGGCGGTGGTGGCGGCACGGAAGTGTCTGGGGGTGGAGGAGGGGCGGCTGAATCTTCTGGGGGAGGTGGAGGTGGTGTAGGAGGTCTTTCGAAGGGCTCAGGAGGGGGCTGGGTAACAGGCACACCCGGGGAGCCGTTTGAAATGATGCCATCCATGATATTTTGCGGGGAACTATGTCGCAAGTAACGGTTGCGGACCCTTTGATAAGTGAAGCGTATCTCGAATTTCTACGGAAAGGCATAGAAACTGGACGCGTAGTCACGTGACTGTCATCCATATTACATCAACCACCAGTGTGCAGTGAGAAGAGCAAGGAGTACATGAAGTCTCAGTGGCATTGCGACCTAGAATTAGAGTACACGATTGAAAAAGAAATGTCCAAGTCCATAATTTCCACCCAATAAGCTGGCATGATATCATTCGAGAAGTAGAGGCGGATAAGCAGAGGATCCACTGAGATTGTGATGATCCTCTGCGTTTGATGCGACAGAACCCCTATTGCTGTTGCAAAAAGCGAGCACTGAAGTAGTTGTTCTACATGGGAGATGGCTCCTACCGATGACAAAAGAGAAAAACACGAGGAAGCCATTTACCTTATCGGTAAGGGACGGGCTGAGATGGGTACTAACCCATGCCCGTAGTCAGCCAGTGTCTATTGCTGAGATCACACATGCCAACTAAGCACTTACACCACCATTGACCGGAGTCTGTTGATAGTAAGGATATGGACTGGTTTGGGGAACAGCAGCGGCGGCAGCGACTGTTGGGTCAACAACAGGTGTCGCCTGACTGCCGTTCTGCGGGGCCTGCACTGCGCCTCCAGTCTTGGTATGAGCCACAGACGCAGGACCATGGACCTCGCGATCAAGGGTCATGTACTCCTTCGCCGCGTCCTTGGTTCCCCGTTCAAGCAAGTAGACCATATAGATGTGAACGAGATCTCTCACGACGTCGGCCGAAAGGGCACTCTTAGAACGGATGTCATCAACCACCTGCTTGATACGTTCGTATTGGACACTCTCAGTGGCAGCACTTGTGGGCTGGTCTAACTCAAACATGAGATAGCTGTTCCAGAATGGACGACTGTCCAGGTAGTACTGCTGGTTCTTCTGGAAGACTTGACGCGCATCCTCGGCTGAGCCCTTAATCTTCCATAGGAGGCGAGCCCACTCGGCAACAAGCGCAGCCTTGGTAGCCAGGTCGCACTGAGGTGAATCCAACTGATTCTTGTATACTTCAATCGCAGCCTCAAGGCCACCATGGCGACGACACATGTTTGCCAAGGAGATAATAGTCTCCACATGGTTTGGTAGGACGGCAAGTATCGCATCGTGGATATCTTTAGCAACGTCCACTCGGCCGCTCATCTCTTCGAAATATGCGTATTGAAGGCGTGTGGCGGGGTTTGCAATTGGAACATAGAAGCAGCTTGCACGTTGATAGATAATCCGCACCTCTTCCTCCTTGGCAGGCTGGGCAGACATCCATCTAGCATAGCGTTGCCAGAACTCGTCGTAGTGAGCGCATGTTACGAGACACCGCTCGTATAAGAACTGAATTCGAGGATACGATCCCTCTGTCTCTTCGAAATCGAGATACTTCTTCCAGTTGGTTAGCTGACCCTCGTCCAGCTCTGTGACATGGAAATATGGGCGCTTGATCTCCGACTCGTAGGTCCACCGCTTGGTAGTCTCTGTCTGCGTCTTTGAGAATATTTCAAGGTGGTAAGCGTCGACACGGAGCCGAAGATCCCTCTCGATTTCGGCTTCTGCCTTGGCGCCAGGGGGTATCTGGCCAGCGGCCGCTTCAAGCTCGGCGCGGAATTGAGACACAGTCTCCGCAGGCGCCAATTCTGATAACGGACGAGTTTGCGCAAGCTGGCGATATCTTTCGAAGTAACGAGCATATTGATGCATTGGAATGTGAATAACGCGGCCAAGAATGGCAAAGATCTTTTCTGGAGCTTCGACTCGTTCTTCGAACTCGATATATTTGTCCCAGAAGGGATGCGCCAGGAAATCTAATCCAACGCTGCTCGCTCCTCGCTCGAACAACCTGCAAAAAAGTATGTTAGCACCGATAACTAGTACATTGTTTGAGCAGAAACGGGGTCGAGGAGGGTATACGGAAAAGGGGGATGGCAAGGATGGCAAACATCAGTTTTAGCTAATCAGTGCGTAAGCCCAAACAATTCAACGAGTAGGAGGATCAGACTGTGGGAAGAATACTCTTTCCCCTCCTTGCGCATCGTGCGCGTAAGAAGCAGTCTCCGAACAGAGTTACTGGTCTTGGTGTCCGTGCAAGGAAGTGGTGCTTGAGGTCAAATCAATTTCACCAAGGGAAAGGATACAGCCTGAAAAAGCCAAGGGTGAGAAGTAAACTTCAGTTGAACCTGGGTAAGGCGACAATCTCACCCATCATCAAGGGATTTGTTGCCAGCGAAATCTTGCATCATGCGTATTCCGCACCACGATAAGGTCCGCGCTGTGTCGGTAACGGTTACAGGGAAGGAAAGGAAACCAGCTATAGTATACTTACTCTCGAATGATGTCAGAATCATGGGAAGTCTCCGCCTTGAAGGAGCAGTAGTTGGTCCACAGATCAACGGAGGATGAGATGCTAGCAACTCCCCGTTCGTAGACCTAGGAAACCCGGAGTTAGCACCAACATGCGCGGTAGGGAGAGCGCCCTCGTACCATGTCCGCTGCTTCTGTACCCGTGATGGAGAACTCCAGGTCGGCATATTTCTTCCAGTATCCGAACAACAAGGGGAATTTAGCCAAGAACCGATCGTAGACGTTTCTGACAGTTGTTATGGCCTGCGGATTGGAGTTGCGATTGATTCCACCCTCCAGCGCCTCGGCACCACGAACAAGCTTTTCCCATGTCTCGAAGTTGTCAGGGTCGTCGGCCTGAAAAAAGCATCTGTTAGCTACAAGACTTGCGCTTCGCAACCGGTAAGGGTGAATTAGGATCATACAAGTTCGGTCTCAAGCTTTCTCAACTCGGCGTTCTCCTCCTCGGAACCTCCGTAGTTGTAGTCCGCCATTATGGCAATCACTCAAAGGTACAACAGCGCGGGGACAAGCGAGAAGGAGTGATATACGATGAATTGGAGAGACTTGACGAAAAGAAAATGTAATCAATGAAGGAGACGAAGACTCCCAAATAACACAAGTAAGACGGTTGCGGGAGAGACGCAGAGTTCCGCCAAGGTAGGTAGAACTTCAGCAAGTGAGGAGGAGCCACCTCACCAGCCACAGAGCGGCCGCTTTTTCTCGCTGCCAAGCCTCAACTAATGTGGCTTAGTGCACCCCCGGGCTGTGGAATTTCTCATAGCATATCCGAAGGTATTATTTCCTTTGAAGCTACCAATCGCCAACAGAACATCATCTATCCCAAGTCCCCAACCTCACACTCTTACTCGGGGTTTCCGACTTGGGCTTACCTACCTCCCACCATGTCCACCACAACGGCAGCCACCGACCTGGTGAGCAAGCTCCCCCTCCGCCTACGCAATTTCTTCGCCCGCTATCCTCCGCAAATCTACTCCGCGGCCGCACGCCCTCCCGTCACTGAGCCCGAAACGCCAGCCGCTGCGCCCGAGGAATCCCTTCCATCGCCATATACGCCCAACAGAGACGCAAAGGGCTTCAAAAAGCCCGACCCGAAAGCCTTCTCCCCGTCCAAAGCGCTCCTCTACACCAGCCCGGAACATCCCAATCCCTTCCTGCCTCGCAAGAACTTCCGCAATGGCAAGTGGATCAGCCCGCCCATCGGGCTGAGGAGACAGGCGGAGCTGGTCAAGTTGGCTGTCAAGTATAACGTGGAGGCGTTACTGCCGCCTGGGCGCAAGTCGACCGAGTATAAGGAGACGAGACGGGCGGAGCGCGGACTGGCGATCAAGGGTACCGGTGTTGGACAGAAGGTCAAGGGTCACAAGTGGGAACGGACCATGGAGGCTCGTTTGGAGGACAGACGGAAGGCTATGATGGAGATGCCGGAGATGATCCGGTTGTGGAAGCAGGTAAGCATTCAGTTGATGTTGAGTGTGCGGTTGGAAGGTGTCGGGGCTAACCTTGATGCGATGCACAGAGAGGTCATGGTCGTGGCTGGAGGCAGTGGCCCAAGAGGTGAACGAATCTATGTCAATGTCTTTGCTATCGCACGGGATTTCATCATGTCGCATCTGTTTTATTTGCCAATCCTCGACTCACACGGCTTGGCTAAGATTTCTATATGGATCATTGAAGGGGTTTGGGATGGGAGTTCTTGTTTGCATATGTACTGTACAAATAGATGTTCTAGCAAAAATTGCACAAAGCGTTCCATGTTTCATGGTATTAGTTTGTATGTATACTGAACACTTCAAAATCAACAAACTCCAGGATTGGAAAGGTAGTCTCAACAACCTGCCCTATGCAAGCACTATTATAACTGGCAATGGATATTCAGAAGATTAAGTGTATCAAGACGCCAAATCCAAACCAGGCAACAAGATGATCCTCATAAGTCGTAATCATGCGCATACGAAGGAGTAACGATATCGCCAACCATCAGCGTCCAGCGCTCCGCGTTATCATGTTGCTCTTGCGTAACTTCTGACGCAGAAAGGGAGCAATGTCTCCCAAAAACAATTTTATTGTTGATCTTCCTGGTCTTTGCCAGTGTCGAAAAGGGCTCATCCCGACGAACGCCGGTAAACTGGTCGATGCAAACCATCTGGCACCGTTGACATGAACCAAGTACATCGAAGCGAAGCTTTTCAGGTCCAATCTTGAGGGCCTCCCACTGGTCTTCGATGTATGGTTGCTCCACCTTGGGTAGGTCTGTGAGAGTCTCTGCGACGACGATATTGGCCCGGAAGACGTCGGCGGCTACGGCTTTGCTTGTCCCCGCCCGATTTTTCTTCTGATTGGCTTTGATGTTCTCGTTCAAGTAATTCACGGAAGAGCGCGAGATGAGGAGGATCGGACTCTCGTTGGACAGGAGAATGGGATTTTTCTCGGCAGGAGGCGGCGAAGGGTCTTGAGGGAAAGAGCCTGGCATCACGAACTTCCTCAGGTACTGTTTCCAAGCCACTGGGGCCTTACGGGGTGAAGCATATCTAGTTGAGGAATGCGGTGGAAATCGCGCCAGTGTGCAAGGCACACCAAGGAAATCGGAGAAAAATTGCGCGACGGAGTGAGAGGTATAAGCCTGTACAGTCACCTGGTCTCCACAAACTGTAGAGGACTTTGATGTTCGCTGGCAAAGGGATGTCGTAGCCAATTCTGTGTCCTCACGCAGGAGAGAAACTTCCAGGAGCTTCTGATCAGTTGAACCCGGCTCCCCGCAAGTGACACGCAGCACATTGCGGTCAAGGTCGATAGAAGGTCGAATGAGAGTCATACGAGGATACTTCTTCTGGTTCAAGGCAGCACCTGTACCCTGGTGGATGAGACACCATTCTCGGTCCCAAGCTAGCCCCTCCCTTCTGACCTCCCACCGCTTTCCATCAGGAACTCTGAATGGTCCGCAGCTCTTGATCGGATAGAGAGACAGGCTTTCGATATAGAAGCGGGGTTGTTGAAGTGGCACACTGTGTACTGGTGTAACCAGAGAGTCCGTAGTTGCCACTTTCTCGACATAAAACTCCTCGACAAACTCGACAAAGGTATTGATGTCCTCCAAGTTAGTCATCGCTCCCAGGCTGAGCCTTAAGACGCCAGTCGGCCGCCCGTCCATGACATCGTGGTCATCTCCACAACGCAGGCCGGCTGAAAACTGTTGGAGCAAGTCAGCCCCCGTCCACCCAAGACTCCCAGACGTTCCCCCGGGGTTGCACAGGGACCCGGATCTAATTTGAATGTTTTTCATTGCTGCAAGTCTCTCAACTTCAGACTTTCCGATCCATGACCCTTGGCTGTTGCGGAGGTTGAACGCAATGATTGGGCCTTGTGTGGAGGGCTGGTTATAATCTGACAGTGGAGACGTGTAAAGTTCACAGACTCTCTGCCCGTTGAAGTGTCTCAAGGCGTTTAGTCGATCATACAGGCGCTTTGCTAAAAAGCGGGTATGAGACGAGATATTTTGCATCGAGCCGAAGAGACGCTCATGGGTTGCAAACGCCGAGTCGAGAGCAATGATATCGTGGAACGGGAGAGTCCCGTCCTCCAGCCGATCATGTATCGAAGATTGCTTTTTTGCATGCCACTGCAGCCCGCGTGTCAGAACCATATCGACAGTGCCTCCTCCGAAATACCTGCGGTGCTCAAAGATCTGCCCAGCACTCTTGCGGACAATCAACGCACCAAGATCTGGAAATCCAAAGATTTTGTAAAAACTTAAGACGGTAAAGTCCGGCGCAGCGGATGCATCACTCAAATCCAGAGGCGAAGTCGAAACCAGAGAAGCCGCGTCAAGAAGAGTATAAACGTTTCCTCCGGCAGTCTCACCCTGGTTCCTGATCTTCTTGCACCATGACAATGGAAGACGGCGACCATTCATATTCGACTGCGCAGGATACGCAAACAACTTGAGCGACTCAGACCGGACATCACTCAACCTTGAGATCCAATCTTCGACCTCGTCATCGGAGGTAAAGCACCGACCTCCCTTCTCTGCGAGTTCTCGTACACCAACGAGACTCGTATGAGCGTCCACATGGTACCCATACCAGAATCCCTGCCGAGTCGAATCCCTCATTCCATCCGCAACCAGCTTGATCGCCGCTGTGGCATTCGCCACAAATACAAGATCAAACTCTTCCGGATCTGCTTTGAAGAAGCGAAGGGTTCGAAGACGGACGTCATCCACGCGCCGCGTGGACAGCTGTGAGGAGGCGGACAAGGAATGGGGATTTCCGAACAAATTCGAAGTCAACTCTCGAGAGAAGGACTCGATCAATGACTTGGCATATAACGTGGTTCCCGCATGGTCCAGGTATGTTGTATCTGCAGCACCGATGAGTACAAAAGTCAAATACGGTGTGACCGTCGCCAAGGGAAGGGGGCGCACCTTTGAGCTGCGGATACTCTCGCTCTCGGATTGAGTCCACGTCCTCCGAGTATCCCCTTCCATACTCCAGTACTTCTTCTTCACAGCTTGTGACTCCTACCATATTGAAACGTTTATCACACCCAGATAGTTCTGCCTCGAAGAATTCGGCTGCGAATAATCCAATCGAGCTGTTGCGCCGATGCGAGTATAAGGTGGCGACAACCCAACTCCGCACGCGATCAACCACGCACAGGAAGATATCGCACCCAAACGGCAATATATCACTATGAGGTTGACTATATCAAACAAAAGGCCGACACTCGATATATGAGAACCAAACAGAGAGGGTCGATGTTCAATCAACGATCGGTATGCGGATAAGATACTCGTCGGAGCTTACCGACGGACGAAAACTTCATTGACCGGTGTCCAGAGCATATGAATCCCACTTCAGTGAGTATGAATAATGGCCTGAGCAACGAGACCTCTTCAGGACAGACATCTCTCTGCCTTATATAACTCGGATATGTCCAGTACTCGACTGGAAGCAGGGATGATGGTAACTGTTGCATCTGCGTGCTCAGTGACGGCGAAAGTCACCTACCCCACAATAGGATAAGAATGGGCGAGGGGGCGGAAATCCCCGACGGCGTGGCAATAACCCGTACAGCTACAAATTCATGTGGCGCTCCGCCAGGAAAGCAAGCGGAGAGATATCGACACGCCCCAAACAACAATATCGACTTATCGGCGCACCACAACCCCCCTGCTTAGCACGCCCGTTAAGGTCTCTACTCGACAGTCTGGAATAGTTCATGCATGTTGTATTCGAACCACGCTGCCTAACAATGCATTGTCACAACATCGCCGGACACTTACCACGACATGGTTCATACTCCTGAGCTGACGGTTGGTGACTGAACTCGCTTTTCGCCCCTGATACTCGCTTCGATCTACGAATAAGATGCTCGTTCCAACAGCTGACTGCAGGCATTCCCATGTCCATGATGGCTCCCTGAGCGGTTGCATCTGACCGTTGGGCCTGCAAATAGTATGAAGCTGACCTATGATCGGAAGATAATTGCCTCCCACCCATGCGGTCATGAGAAAATTCAAATCACATATCGATACGTGGCATACTTCGTCGCCAACAGGCGAACCAACAATTAATCTAGTCATCGACTGGGTCGATGAAACTGAGATGCAGGGTCGGGTTCGACCTGCACAAAATCTCAAGTAGGGATCCCCATGACTGTCAATGCACTCGGATCTTGGTTCTTGAGACGTGATTCATCTTGCATACAGCCTATCCGGTTGAAAAGGAACAAGCGAGGACTACGTAGAAACGGGCCGGGCAGAACAAAAACAGGTAGGCAGGTAGCATTAGATGGATACGACATAGCGGACGCCAGTATCAGGAAAGACATAGCGTACAGGGCTCAAGCAGCTGGAACGAGGATTCCAACGTGATCTCGTGATTCATCATATTTCAAATCGTGGTGAAAGATCAAACAGTGTGCGAGGGCATTCATACGTAATATTTGGGCTTCGCCCGTGCAAGATGTGTCAGCTCAAGGGACATCCCTGAGTCAAGGCAAACTTTCGTTAGCACCACCAATCCTGATACCTCTTTCCCTTTGTGCTATTCACTTGTTTCTCCCTTCTTTTCTTCGTGCAAATTGCATATCTTTCTCATCATCGCATATCCATAAATCATAAACATTATCATCAATCATGCTCAGACAACATAGTGCTGGCGACTCCTCGAGGAGCTGCGGTGCTTGTGGCCATGACCCCGTCGGCTGCTGTGGCTCCTCCTCCGCACCGTCGTCGTCTCCTTGACGACCACATCCCTGTTGCCTCTGTAGATAAAGAGCGCCAGGATAGCCGTCCAGAAGAAGAAAAGCGTCTCCATGATCCCCAGCGCAAAGCAAGTCTTCAGCATCGCGCAGGTCTTGTTGATCTCCATGTACAGGTGGTTCTGGCTTTCGTAGCCAAAGTACCCGAAGGGCCCAAGCGACACCCACACAGAGCCGCCATTCCAGTGAGAGCAATCGGCAGCCGCGATGAAGCGGAGCTCGTAGACTCCTGCGATGAAAGCGCCGACGAAGAGGAGGTCGACGAAGGCGACGAAGAACGCGGAGCGCTTGGTGGTCGAATGGCGGATGAGCGTGTCGAAGGCCCAGAAGACGGCGATCACGCTGACGATGAAGAGCACCAGGATGTAGGGCGGGGTGATCTGGTTTGCTTTGAGATAGCCGTCGACGAAGTAGGCCTGTTCGGCATGTTAGGCTCCCGTAAATGCATATGCCAAAAAAAGTTATATCTGCTTACCATGATGCCAATGATCGGAATCAGGAATACAATCTCCACCAAGCGGTTGAAGATGAAGAACAGACTTCCAATCATCTTGTCCGCTTGCTTTTTCCGACTGCTGCTTCAATAAATAAAATCAAATGCCGACTTGAGGTATGTGAGGAGATCAAATATCCAAATGTGGAGACAATGCGCTTGCGATTTTGATCAAAGCCGATAGTGTCGTTACGAAGTCATCAGCGATAGATGATTAGAGATGAAACGGGATATGTGCGTAAGATCGAGAGAGTCGTGTTATCCAACTCCTTGCGTTAGGCTGTATAGACTACACCACCGCAGAAAATATGTTGAGCAATCACGAAGCACGAGGAAACGCTCAAACGTGGAATCAGGGAATTATGCATGCAAGAATGAGGTCAAATAATGACAACACATAGATTCAAAAGGGGGAAAAGAGAGACAAGAAAAGAAAATGCCTCTTCATGAAAATATTCTCCGAGCTGATCGATGATGGAGGGGAGGCTGGGCGACTCAGAGCGTTAGGTTGCGGGGTGGCTGGGCAACCAGCATCATGGAACATTATCGACACACACGTGGGGTAGATGCGGTGCCTGGTTGCTGCTTTGCTTCAGAGCTGAACTGTCATTTTCCAATGATCGATTACCTAGACATCGATATGTCCTTCTACCATCTACAGTGATGTCGATAGTAGTATGACAGCATGTATGTAACCAATCCACTGTTGGCTCGAGCGGTCTATTTTCCCACGCGGTTCTAGCCATGGTTGATCTTTAGCTTATTTGCAGGAGTACCTTAACTGTGAGCTAAAAGCAGTCAGGTACGAGCGCATAGAGATGCTACCTGTACTTCGTATGCAGTAAATCAATAGATTGAATTTAGCTGACTGATTAAAGAATCCTTATATGCTCATGCTCCTGGTATGATTGACGACCATTTGGTTGTGTTTCTGAATAGAAATCGTCACAAAATCTATCAAACGCCAAAATGACAATCAGATTAACCAAAATACAGCGGGGCATATGCATAGAAAACATGACAGCTTTTTTATACTCGGACAGAGATTCATCAATCATGGCACGGGTTTACTTCAGGACTTAGCAGTTTGTGAGCAAACGCGCGGGTATTCGCACGCTCCAAAATCAGTCTCACTTATCCCAAAACTGCAGATCCGACCGACACTTACTGCGCGTCTCTGCCTGGACGAGTTGCTACTGGATCCGGCAGTACGTGAGGAGCACTGACGCCCGGTAGCACAGGTTGTGTCTGAGAATGGTACGAAGTGTCGGCTTCGTATCTTGGAAGCCCGCCTATTCCTGGATTCTGTGCACGAGCATAGCCATGCTGCATCTCGTATCCATCTGCAACATCTTCGCTCGAAGATGACCATTCCCCATCATTATCGTGGGCTCGGCGGTTGCGCAAGTCCGAGGTGTACGGGTTAGCTGAACCCATGTAAGTCGGGGAAACTCGCGGCGGACCGTCCATCCCAGGAGAACCAGATGCGTCTATCCTGTTGTCCTCTGGGTTCCGAAGAGCAGATGTGCTCCCATAGTGGTCAGACAGAGGCGAGGCCTCGCTGGGTGCCACAGGGTCTGTACCCCAGCTTCGAATCGGATACGCGCGGCCTTTCTTCCACGGCTCGGAAATGGGTGGGAAATACTGGCGGTAGGAGATGTAGGCGCAGACAATGCCCAGCAAGGATCCGCTGATCACGTCAAAAGGATGATGCCTCGCATCCATGATTCGTGAAACGGCAACAAGTGTCGCCGCAAGACAAGGAATTATGATGATGATGGCCTTCCAAACTTCGCCTTTGTTGTCCATAAAGTGCAGTTTTCCGCACAGCCAAAGAGTCAGGTAGAATAAACCGGCAAAAGACGCTATATTCCGAGATTAGTACAATGAAAAGGAGCACCAAAACTCTGAGACGACAAGCTTACAGCTACTATGACCTATACTATCAATCAGCATAGCTCAAGAAAAAAGATCACAAGGCCAGGGTAAACTTACCTGAAGGCCAAGAACGGAATCCATCCTTGATTATTGCAGGGTCTCCCGTACAGATAGTCGAATTGGACAACCCAGGGATCAGATCTTCGCTTCCTAGCCTCGGCTTGCACCGATCGATCAAGTCAGGCCTGGGCTTCCCACATGCGGTCTTCAGCACCTGGGTGATGAGAAATGCGAGGCCTTGCGACAGCAAAAGACCCAAAAAGCCACAGTTGAACTCCCACAGGCGATCCTTCCACCGGTATGGCCCGGTAAGTTTTCTCTTCCCGGATGCCGGATTGTGCGTCTTGTGATGCGAGAACAGACCGTCAATGAACAGCGTATACACTGCAATCATGACGAGGGGGATAACGCCAGAGATGAGCAGGGCTTCTTGGATCGAAATGCGCTCGTGGACGGCATAGGGATACTGGATGGATATGTTTCGCAGAGAGAAATGCTGGTGATAGGGTTCGATGGAATCGAAAATGTAGAAACCAGCAATGCAACCGCTATAGTGAGACTATGGATAAGTGATTGTAACGATCTCAGAGTAAAGGGGAATGGAATACGAACATGAGGATGACATAGTCGACAATGTATCTGTATAACAAAACAGAAGCTATTAGCAACGCAATTTCAGTCAGTCAATCTTGACGATTCCATCACTCACGAAATTACAACACGAGGCCGTAACCGCCGTTTCGAGAACGGTAGTTTAGAGGGAAGATGGTCCATTTTCTTGACGCTAGCATAAACGGCCTCTGGTAAAACGAAGGTTCTGAAGGAAGGGTGAGCATGACAGTCAGCTCTCACTGCACGATAGGACAAGGAGACGCATTGTATTTTCTAAATTCGGGCACAAACTGGGCTGGTACAGATAGCCTCTTGGCTGTTTCTTGGAGAGCACAGAAGACAAAGACAAATCCTCTTGTTCCTTTGGGAAATGACTGATCCACAACTTACTGTACAAGTCAAAGAATATCCCCGCGATCCTGCGCGGCGATGTGGAACAGGAATCTAATCTTCAGAGAATCCCCAACTGAGCAGTTTGTGAGATACCGTTAAATGGGAAAGCTGAGATCATATTAATAATAGTCTGCTGAATCGAAAGCTGCCTAAAATAATCCAAACATGGAGAACAAAATCCAGAACTATGCCGATAACGGGAAAAAGGTTGCCATGGTCGCTGCCACCTGCACAGCTAAGACTTGAAAGCGTGTCCCGTGGCGTGGATCGTAGCCATTCAGACTTGCCCTGACACAATCAGAATCCCACTGCGCTCAATGAGAAGCGCTGAGGCTGTCACTCAGGATCCACAACTGGACCCTGGCCTGGCGTAGACAACCAAGATGAATCAAACGAGTCCTTACCCACCTAGGTAGGTACTCAAAGGGGCTTAAAGTCTAATTCTAAGCCACAAGTGCACCACTGAGGGAACGTGTTCAACCTGTGTCTTTCTGATGTTGATTTTAATTTCTCCAGCGTTGTTATTTCTTACAGAGAAATTAATTCATGACCTAAAATTACTTGAATAATAATTGAAGAGAGACAATCGATCATGTCCTGTTAAGTCAAATACCAAGTCCAGTGCCTCCGTGCCGCTCGCCCATTCCGCATGGCGGGATCATTCAGTAACTTTAATTGGCAACCTGAGGCACACGACAGCGGCTGTTCTAGGCAACATTATTTTTTTATCACTATGAGTGGCACGGTGGCACCTTGGATATCTATCTGAACTAGAGATTATTCCTCCTTGGAAATATAACTTCAGTTTAATCTAGGGAGGTCTATTATTAGTATTTCCAAAGCTAAGCAAACATAATGTCCAATTCGGAATGCTTGACTGTATATATCCTTCCTGACTGGCTATTGATAGCCAGAATCCTACGCCTCATTTTTTGAATAATCATCGACTTCAGAAGACTTAGTTGTATTGTACAATGCAAGCTAACTTCCTATGTACCTAATGAATGACTGTTCATAATTAACTCACTAGACCATTCGAAAGATTCACTATGCTCTCTGTCATCCCGACCATACCCGACATTGAATCAATTTGGGTCCGAAAGAAAATTTGTCGTTTCATCAATAAAAGCCATAATTTCGAAAGATATTACCACAGGTCCATCATCCATGTTCTCATAATGTCGGGTAGTCCTTTGTCAAGCTAATTGACTTAGCAGACAGTGATGTACAAGCCAAGACTGGATGCTGATTAGCCACGATTCAGATGTTTGAGATGCGCAGAGAAAACTTACGGAGAGGGGTTGTAGTCCTCGAAGAAGTTGAGGTTGGTGCTACCAGCGTTCTTCATCTCGAAGCCGACTGCCTGTCCAGCCGGGCACTGGAAGGTAGAAATCAGGTAGGAGTTGCCAGGGGAGACGGTGGTAAGGCCGTAGTCTTGTTTGACCTTGGGAGCATTGCTGAAGGAGGTCTGGGAAGTAGCGGCAGACTCCAGCATGGCGAAATCGATCTTGCCGTCGCCGCTGAAGGAGTAAGAAGAGGTCTGGAGGTCCTCCTTCTTGGGGAACAAGAAGACGAGACTGCAGGTCTTGCCGGCGTCCGAGGAAGGAATGTCAAAGTTGAAGATGCTCGAGACGGTGGAAGAGACTGTGCCGTTGAACGAGGTGCCAGAAGCCTTGCTGGGAGACGAGGAATCGACGGGGATGATCAGGTGGGGGAATTCGTACTGTCCGGAAAGATTGGTCGGGCAGCTGCGGGTGGAAGACTGGGTGGCAGAGGCAGAATGAGAAGGCTGAGATCCAGAGCCAGCGGGAGTAGAGGGTTGAGAACCGGAACCAGCTGGGGTGGTTGTCTCGGGGCAAGTGGTCGTGGTCCTGGTTGTCTTGACAGTGGTGGTAGATCCGGGAGCGCTCGACTCGGGAGTAGGAGAGGCAGCAGGGGTGCTCGTCTGTACTGCGGAGCTTGTTGGAGTGACAGAAATGACCGAACTGTAGACTGCGGAAGAACTGGCACCGGCACCGGCACCAGTGTTGGCACAGTTGTCGGCATGCAGCCGAATGTTCTTGCAGCCAGTCACATCATTGCTATTGGGAGAGGTGTAGACGTTCAGCCCTCCATTCTGACCAGTCTCACAGGCAACAAAGTCTGTCTTTCCGTTGTAGGTGAGCAGGCCCTGGGAGTTGACGGAGAAGCCAGTGGTGGGCTGGGCTCCAGCATCACACTGGAACTGGGTGGTCGGAGCTATCGATATTTGTTAAGACGTTGTCAATTTGTCAGAACTGAACCCAGATACTCACGGGTCAAGATGCATCCACGTCCGTGGCCATCAATAATACCGCCATCGGAGTTGATACAGAACTCGCCCTCAGGGAGGTTGCCGAAGACACGGTTCTGTCCATCATCAAGCTGGCCAATGGGGCCAGAAGCACCGCCCGAAGCGGTCAGATGGAAGCAGCAGGTGTTGTCTCTGGTGACGAGAGCATTAGCTCCGACAGCGAGAGCCGCGAGAGTGGCAAAGTTCTTCATTCTGTGAGAGTGAACGTAAGGAGTCAAGGCAGCACAAAAGGTGAAGCGAGTGGACAAAAGGTCTGATTGGTCTGAATCGGCACGACTAAAGACCCAGGTTGTTTATCTTTTGACTGTTTGAGGACTACAACAAACACTGATGAGGACGAGAAGTACTCTTTACTTATAAACCGTGGTGGGTACCCTTCATATCAGCGTCATGGATGTCACTGGAACCCTGATCAAGGTAGGTCATCAACAGCTCATACTTTCGCATGAAAAGCAAAAAGTAGAAACAAAGCGTTGGCCAGTAGCAATGCATTCTCATGTAATGCAGGTGGGCCAATGCCGACCGGTCTGGCATCATACACACGCCAGAGCGAGTACCTCTCTAAACAAGCTCGATATTGCACGGACCTACAGGCGAGCCTGCAAGTAATCGGATTTCGACGGCGTTCGATAGGGGGGACGTCATGGTGGACAAGGCATTGTGGGGAGATGGTGAATAGCATTGAGATATCACGGCCCACCTACGATCCTAGTGCAGCACGGACAACAACGGTGGCCATATCTAGTAACATTTTGTGCAAAGCATAAGCCTGCAGGTGGATCAGGACCCATCTGAAAGGTTCTTGGATTGGCCGTAGAGAGCCTGCCCTGTCCTTCAATGTTGCCTGATACATGGTTCCCTCAGCCTCAGGGCATGAGCCTGCAACTGAGGTGGCGATATCAGATTTGATCCACGGAACTGGCACAGTTGGAAATTGGTTTGACCAAAGACAACAAACGTTGCTGGATGAGGTTTCAAGGACGAAAGCATTATTGAGCTCCCATGGTTCTTTCCTTCTATTCATAGTCTCCTATCAGCTAGAATGGCTGGTCAGTGACGCATTGAACACAGTTGAGCACCACTGCGTTTTCCACACCATTAGTGATGTATTCCAAATACAAGGCCTATACATCTGGAGGAAGAAAACGGAAAAGAGCAGTGGAGCCGAGCAGAGAGTGGAGATCTTTTTAAGGTGCCTTGCATCTAGTCAACGTCATGCGAGATTCTTGGGGTTGACTTAAGCTTCTATAACATGAGCGCAAACTGCTCGAAGGGATACTACGTTTATGATCTAACACCTGACACAACTTTAACCATGATACTGAGCATGTGAAGCCCCTATGTCTTGACAGAAGGCC